TCTAATTTTTTTATTTGTTTTTAATCTAAACCATTTATTTATTTTTGTTAAGTAAAATTGACGAAAAAAATATTTTAATTATTAAATTGATTGTTACTATTAGCACCCATTTATTGCTTTTGACTCGTCATTTTGTTAAATTTTCACTTATAAATTTTAAAATTCTTAAAAATCCTCGCCTCTCCAAAATAATACTAAAATTATTCTTTTAAAAATTTCACACCCACTAAAATGCACACTCTTCAACAGATCTCTAAAAACCATTAATCTCCTGAAAACCTAAAGTTCAAATCTTAAGTTCACCATAAAAATCTTCCCTTTGACCACGTTTTTCACTCTCACGGCAATATTCGTCTCATTCTTTCTTACGACAGTATCTCATTAGCCCTCTACAGTTTTTTCTTTTTTTTTAGAGTTCTTGATCTGAAACCTATATTCCTCACTCTTCCTTGCAACACTTATTAGAGGCTTTGCTAGGTGGCATTTGGGTTTCAAACTTCCATAAAAGTTGAAAAGAATGTTCGTCATCACCCTAAATAACAATATAAATTAAATTTAGGAATTTGATCGATAATACATGTCGGAACAAAATTCATATATCCAAAACTAAGTGCCATTTTGAGAACATGGTAAAAAGCCACGTTTTTTGACATTTTGTCCAAAAACGTGGCTGCCAAAAACGCCAAAAAAATCATTTGGCAAGTGCTAAAAACGCAGCCCTAAAATTACAAATTAGGGCCTATGAAAAATAAATAAAAAAATAACTCTCTTATGTTAGGTAAGGGTATTTTGGTCATTTTAATTTGATTTGACACCATAAATAAATATTAAACTAAAAAGCAAAAAGCCAACTTTTACTAACTTTCCAAATCACTTCCAAAAAAAGCAAAAAAACTTGATAAAAAGCCAAAAGTCAGTTTTTTACCAACTTCCCAAAACAATCCTAAATGTGTGTGATGATGCATACTTCAATCACACACATACCAAAAAAAAAAAACATTTACTATGAAAAAATAAGTAAAATTACTTCTTTTTTTTTTCTCTCTACAAATTTAAAATTTAAAATTAGGTGTAATTAATTAGGGATTTGAGTCCCGTCTTGTCTTTTGTCAAATCCAAAGAGAAATATAAAGATTACTTTCCAAGAATGGTAAAATCTTAAAAACCAAGTTGCTTACCAATCTCAATTCTAAAAAATCCTGTAATTGAAAGTTATCAAGCATTACTTTCTGTTAATTCTTGTACATTTAAAGTAATGAATAGTTAAAGTGATTCTATAATACTTTTTAACCTTTAAATGATGACTAGGATTAAAACAACTATACAAAATTATTACTATATAGTTAAAATAAAAAGAATAATTGTACAAACAAATGCAATAGAAATACAAACAAATTTTTATACAAACTAGAAATTGATGTGATAATGAGTTGTTCCTATCATTTAAATGTAATAATTCCCATTTTAAATTTTAAAATTTCACTATAATATGACATGGCAATTTGTAAGTAAAGTGCATTAAAAAATTTAAAAACTCTCGAGATATTAATTCATGATTATATTTCAATTTAAAACAATGAATATCAATCACAATCAAACAATCAACTATAAATTGGTACAATGGTTTAGGAGTGGTTTGGGATGTCTTAAATAAGTGTATTTTTTGACTTTTTATAAAAAAATATGTAGAAAAGTAGAGAGGAGATGTTGATTAATGTGACCCAAAAAAGATAAAAAGATAAAAAGATGGACTAAAATAGGTTATGCCAAACAAGACTTTAACGTGAAAAAAATTACAATTAGAACAACTGTGATAAAAAAATCAAGGGTCAAAATCACAAAACAATCCACTAAGAAGACAAAAAAAAATTACACACAAATACCCTCAATTACTTAGCGAATGCCCGAATTAAATCAAACTCGATGTGTCTCTTCCACCACCATCTTCACCTCTGAATTACTTTGCCCAACATTGAATCCACAACGCCGATGTTGAATTCATGACGATAAGCCACTCTAAAATTTACTAAAGTTTCAGGCTTAAGTTCCTCGAAATCCACTAAAGAACACCTCTATTTTGTGATTGAAACAATAAAAACAAACCACTTAATGATGTCAATATAAAGCTCATAAATCAATCGATCACTCTCAAATCATCAAGGAAACCAATATATAAACACCATTCTATGTAAAAAACTTTAGTAACTCTCCTATCTGAAAATTTGGATGGATTCCATCCTAAAATTCACAAACAACACACTTCATATTAAATAGAGTCACAAAAACCGCTCGAGCGCACACTTTACCGCTCGAGCAGTGTGAGTAAAAGGCGGTGCAAACATATAAGCCAACCGCTTGAGCGCAACATTCACCGTTCGAACAACGAAACATATTTCCCATAAGTTTAGTTTGCAGGTAGAGATACTGGATAAATCACATAGCTGCTCGAGCGCACAAATGACTGTTCAAGCGGTAAAATAACTTTGACTTATTTTGGCTTCGAGGGCGCTGCCCCTCGACCCTATACATAGTTGCGAGGTAGCAAATAAGGAATGCTCAAGATACGGAATATCAGTACAAACTCCTTTACACAGGTACAATTTGAGTTGGATTCACATCTAAATACTCATAGCTTCATTGAAACAAAAAAAGAATTAAATTATAATTGAAAGGAATTTTGTCAAAAGAGATTATGAATTACAAAAACATAACATATTTGTACAGCAATTTTCTCTTACAAAATTCGAGTCAAAATCAAATGCTACCCCATGTTGACAAATAGCACATATTAAACATGTGTTAACGTAATTAGTAAAAAACTCTTACATCTTATTTTGAAATCAATTTTCGACTCCCTCGGAAAAAAGTAGAATTCATAATTTTGTCTAATAGATGCGAGAACTTACCTATACACACAATATTTTACTGTTTGATGAAAGTAATCCAGAGGAGAATAAAATTTATAAAATAAAATAAAATTGAAGGACGATAAAGAACAATAGAGTTAAACTCAAAATATTTTATAAAACATGAGTAAAATATTTAGGCCATGTTTGGTTTGTTTTTCAGAAAAATTTTTGAGAAAATTTCTATACAAACAAATTTTCAAGAGTAATCAAACTAAACAAATTTTTTCAAAAAAAATTTCAAAATTTTGTTTGGTTACGTATTTTCCAAAATCACTATCTCTCTTTCATACACATCAAATCAATCACTTTTTTTAAAACTCTCTTCCCAAAATAATTTTTCAAAATCATTTATGAAAATAGGCAAACCAAACAAGTTTTTATACTTTCTATCTTAAAAACTACTCTACAAACACAAACCAAACAAGTATTTTTCAAACTGTCAATTGGAAGCAATTTTGAAAAAAAAATTAGAACTGAAGTACCCATGCTCGTTCATGTCATATCGAAAAGGGGGTGGGGTTACAACCCCAGATGCCCCCCTATATGTGTTCTCTCCCACTTAGGAGTCGTATTTTATTACAATAAACAAAAATAAAATAAAATAAAATAACAAATAGTGCACATTAATGAAAAACACCAACTATGTAGTTTAGTTAGGGTTTAACAACAAAACATACATAATTGCAGGCGCGTATTTGGCTTCACAAGTACCCAAAAAGATAAATAAGACTCATTTGATTGATTTTGCATCGAGTTTTATATTCTTACACATCTTGTCAAAATCATTCTTTTGCCACAAAAAAAAACATAATAAAAAGCTTTGATTCAATATCACTAATCATTTTTATAATCATCCCTTGAACATTGGCTTTATTGTATTCCAAATCTTAATCTAGAGATGGGTCCACTGAATATCACAAAAATCTTTCAAAATATGTCTCTTCAATGGAAGTTGGTACTCACATGCATCTAAATTAGATTGAAAATGTCATTAATAATGTATGCAAGACATAATTTTGATATGAACACAGAAATTAATTATAAAATCAAAAACACACACACATCCAAAAAAAAAAACAAGAAGATTTTACAGATATTATTAATGAAGTCTACTTTTAAAAAATATTATCAATCTCTATATATTACTGATTTTTGGCATTTGAAAATTTATTCACTAAGATATGCACTCAACATTCACTATCCCATCACTTAGCAAACAAAGCCCCACTTAAGGTATTAATCAAACAACTCATATCCCATCACTTTAGCAAACCCTAAACCACTATTGATGACAATTATTGAGGGGATAAGCACAAAATGCATTATGATGCAATATGACAATAATACGCTCCCATGACTAATAAGCCTCAATGGTCTTTAAGATCTGTTCTTGCTTTCACATGAAAAGTATGGACCACCCATCTTGTAAAACATGAATAGATTTTGATAAGAAGCGCTCGTAAATGTACTAAATATCAACCTTAAAATAGTTGTATACTTTTTTTATAAAAAAATTACAATCATTTTAAGTTAGGTCAATCAGTGTCCTTAGGGCATGTTTGATTGGGTGGATTAGAGCATGAGATTGGGATTATTAATCCGTGGGCTCAATTATCCTATGTTTGTTTTAACATTTTGGTTTAGGATTATTAATCCAATAGATAATTAATCCAACAAATTTGTAGGATTATTAGTAATGGGGTAGGGGTAGGAATATTAATCCAATGGATATTAATCCAATTAGATAGTGAATACCACACTAATTTAATAGAATTATTAATACTTCACTATTAATCTTGTAAATCAAACATGACCTTAGGCTATTCGCTAACAAAACCCAAAATGAATTAGCTTTTTATAACTCTAGTAAACCATTTGTTTCCCAAAGCAGTTGAAAAAAAAAAAAAAAAAAACCAGTAGCAATTTGTTCAAATGCTATTAACACAACAAAGTCATTCCATCTGCTTTGAAAAACACCATGGCTCAAGGCAATACCCACAAGAAGATCTTAAAAATGTGAAGGAAAAAAAAAAAGAGTAATAGGATCAAAGCAAACGATTTGCAAAGAAACACTCAATTTGAACATGAAAATGGAGAAATTGCTATATATACCACAGAACTTTGACCAATACAATGTTTCCAACGTTCTAAACAAAATTACATTTGCTATCAGAAGCTAATGATCCTCAAATTTAATGCAAACGTATACAAAATCATGAAAGAAAAAAAATTACAAAAACAAAACTTATCACTATGTCAGCAAACTGGTAGTGCCTCCCTAAATCCAGGGCTAAAACCGTTCTGTAAACGCTTCTTACCCAAATCAACATTTCCCTTTTGCATCATCGCCACAAACTCGTTGTAATCTATGCAGCCATCCTGAAAGTTAAAAATCAGAAAGGTTAATGACTAGTCAATCAAAATCCCAAGAAAAAAAGGAAAGAAAAAAGAACGAAATAGTAGGAGCATTTCAACATTTTTCGTCACAATTAAAAAGACAATTTTGGCCAGATTCGCTTCTTGAGTGGAGACACCTAGACCAGTTGAAAAAGAATATGTCCTTCATGCCCATACTAGTTCATCCTAAACCTAAAAAGTTGTCATTCTTGACCGTTGAGTACACTACAATTTCAAACGTGGGATGTAAGTGCAAAATCCAGACCAACCAGTTCCAAGGTCATTGTTGGCTGAAAGTTCTTTTCGCCTTTCCAAATAGTTGCAAGACAAAGGTGTCCCATGTATGTTTATCAGAGTTCAATTCATTTTATGAGCCACATGTACCATAGATATGAAGATGGTGATGTGATTTATTTATTTTATTTTTTTTGGAATAGTGATGAGATCATAGGAGCGCTTACATTGTTTTGGTCGACTTCTTGGATCATATCTTCCAAGCAGACATTCTCTATTCCAAACTCCTCGCAAGCTTGTTGAAGCTCATCTTGGGTGATGTAACCACTGCCGTCTTTGTCAAAATATGAAAAGGCGGCAAAAAGATGATCTTCCCTCTCAATTTTGTTAAGATGCAACGTTGCAGCTATGAACTCCCCATAATCAATTGTGCCACTATTATCAACATCCGCCTGCATTTCCCAACAAACAAAAGAACATTGGAATCTAAAGAAGACAAAGAAACATATGATCAAGGAAGTGGTAGAGTTAACCACCCACAAATCATGATAGATATACACAACAAGTGTATGTATCTGAAGAGAACACCACAGGGCAGGTTTAAGTTGATGTTATCTTTGAAGATAGAATTCATTTTATTCTGCTGAGAATGCTAAAATTGATAGTTTGAATAGGGTATTAGCGGCATGGATAATTACTCAAGCTATATGAATAATATACTTACATTAATTTTATACAAAGTGATATACATACATCAGGGTAGATTGAATAGTAAGATTCCCAAATTCATGATAAAGATTAAATGTGGTGAACTTCCAAAATCCCAGATTACCCTCTTGGCACATGTAAAATATATTTCTACATTGAAATGCACTCAAATGGGAGAAAAATTCTCCTATTCTTTAAAAGCAATAGCTCAAGACATCATACAAGACTGTCAGGTAGTGTTTGGTTCAATGAATATCCATTCCCACATTTGGTTCACTATAAAATGATAGAAAATGCATTGCAAATGGTATATCATCATTCACCATTGCAAGGGAATGGTCATTCCTATGGTTAAGAAATGACCATTCCATTCCACCTTCAGTCCAATGAAGCAAACACTACATCAATCCTTTAATTGGAATGCCAAGAAGTTCAGCCATAAAAAAGCATAGGTCTTTTTTTTTTTTGTTTTTTTCAGAACAAAAAAATGAGGCTTCTTTATCTAATTTGTTAAAAGAAGCTTTAAGTCAGATTTGATTCGGCAATGATACTTACAGCCTGCATCAAATCATGGATCTCAGACTCATTGAGATTGGCACCGTATCTTTTCAATCCAGCCTTGAGTTCTTCGAAAGTAATTTGACCACTGTTATCTGTATCAAGAGTTTTGAACATTTCTTTTAGCCCAGCAATTTCTTCTTCAGATAGACACCCTGCAATGACCTACGGCCAAAGAACACAACAATAAAACCACAAGAAAACTATTTAAAACTGTAAAAGCATACTATGTGCTAAACTTCAAAATTAAATGTCTATCATTCTATAAAATAGAATCCATACAGGTCCAGATACAGAGGCCCTATGTAGTTAGTGACTTGTGATACCATAGTTAACACTTACTCGAAGAGCCATTTTCTTAAGCTTGTTCATGGCAGAAAAGTGTGTCAAGCGGCTTAAGACTGCAGAGTCAAGAGGCTTATCGGGTGCCACTCCATCAACCTGAACCCAAGGATGGCCTACAAAGAAACCAAAGACTCATTAATGCACCATTCCAAATGTCTATAATAAAGCAATCTCTCACCCACAAAAAAAATTGTCTTCTGCCTTTCCTCCAAGTTTTTAGCATAAAAGTTTTCTCACAATTTTTTTTGCTTAATCCTATCGAAATCATTTCCCAGAAAAGGAACAGAATTTTAATATGTTTATATATGCATATATATGTAGAGCATTTATAATGAGAGCCCAATCAGTTCAAAGAGAAACAAAGATGTGCCCATTACACAACATGGAATTTGTTGAGTGGTAAAAAGATTTGATAAACTAATTCTCTTCATATATATCAACAAAAAGAGGTGAAAAATAGAACATAACAACTCACATAGAACTTCGTGTGCAGTTAGCCGCTTTTTGGGGTCTCTAACAAGCATTTTTCTGACTAAATCTTTTGCACTTTCAGAGATATTAGGCCATGGATCAGATGAGAAGTCAAGATCACCATGCAAAACCTCTTCAAATATATCGTGTTCAGTTTCTGTATCAAAATCAAAAAGATATATATATATATATATATGTAAAATGAATATGAATGTAATAACCAAATAGAAAAATGAAAGAAAGAAAGAAGGGAAAGGAAACAAAGGAAAATTATGGCACTCATTAAGGCTGATAATGAAAAAATCTTACCAGCCCAAAATGGAGGCACCCCACTTAGGAGAATGTAAATCATCACACCAGCGCTCCAAACATCTGCTTCTGAACTATAACGCTTATTCAGAACTTCAGGTGCAACATAATATGGGCTTCCAACCACATCATGGAAAATTTCCCCTGTAATTTAAATTTATTAAAAAAACTAATATGTATTTTGCTAAGACAAATGATAAAGTAGAGCATGTAATTCACATTCTAGCAATACCCAAAATGAAAAAAATAATGAAAGGAAAAGTTTACTTTCAAAAGATTTTGATAAGTTTCCTTTCCCAACAATTTTTTTTCCCTATCATGTTATCATAATCCAATTCTATCATGAAAGCACAATTCCAATTTAGCTGTCAGATATAGTTATCATATAAATAATTTGTAGTAGAGAACTATTCATTCTTTTCTACTTCCTTAGGGCTCACAAAGTAGCATCTATATTTTTGTCAGAAAATATCGGAACCTTGAATCAATAACCGAATCTTTCCAGAATTGATTATATTCATTTGTTGATGTAAAGACACATTAAATCAACATGCCTACCTACTTCAGCAAGAATCCAAATACAATTCACTTTGGAAATTAGTGCTAGTGGACATAGACATGACAAACAAATCACATAGTTAACCTCAAAATGACCAGCCTTCCTACATTTCCAACATCCCTCAGAACTCTATTCCTTCTCAGAACAAACTAACAAAGGACCTATGGGGAGCTTTCCCATCCTCTCGGTCAAAGATTATCTGTCCACCAGCAAATACTTGAGCCGCCAATAAATAGGATTGTTTAGCTCAAGTGCTCAACCAACAGCTAAAGCCATAAGTAAAAATTTTCAAAACTTACATCCACCAAACAATCACACCTGCTCAATAATCCTGGTCATTGTGTCAAAAAAAGCTTGATCCTCGTTAGGTGAAAAGCCTAGTGATATGGTTTTTCCCCCATCTATATGACACCTCATTACTTGAATGAAATACTAGTACTCTTATAAACAATTACAACCCACCAAAGATGCCAATGCTACTAACATATCAACTAAATCAAGTTTCTGAACCATACAAAATCACTCAACTCTATGAGCTCCACCATAATCAAATACTAAAATCAACTTCAACGTACAACAACAGAATATGCAATTAATATGAAACCAAATGGGATTATCCTTGGTTTCACTCTGTCATAGATATATGTTTGCCACTTTCAGCTAATACAATCTCAATTTAAGGGTAAGGCTGACTTCAATATACTAGAAGTTAAAACATCAGAAGCTAATAAAGTGTTAAAGTTAGTGAATACAACACAATTAATATGAAAAAACATACCTGGCTTGAAGAATACTGATAATCCAAAGTCTATAGCCATAAGAGGCGAATCCTCCTCCTCATTGACAAAGAGAAAATTTTCAGGCTTAAGGTCCCGATGCATGACTCCCAATGAATGACAGGCTTCTATTACACCAACTATAGTCCTAGCAAGCTCGGCTGCCTTTCTCTCTGTGTAATGCCCTCGCTTGACAATCCTATCAAAGAGCTCACCGCCTGTACACAATTCCATCACAACATGAACTGCCACAGCATCCTCATAAGCTCCTTTGATTGAGATGACATTGGGGTGTCCATACAAGTGATGCATGATTTCAATTTCCCTCCTCACATCATCCACATCATCCTCTGTGAGCAACTTCCTTTTCGCAATGGATTTGCAAGCATATTTCTTCCCTGTTGCTTTCTCCACACAGAGAAATGTAGTCCCAAATTGCCCATGTCCTAGTTTTTGCCCCAAATTGTAAAATTCCTTCAGATGACCTGTTTTTGTTTTCAACAGAGACTCTGCTTGCAACCCTGCACTCGCCATCCTCTTGACATTGTGTGCCTTCCTGGGCCTTGTGGGTTGTGCTGGTTTGGTCTCTTCCTTTACCGTTTTCACCGGCTCTGGTATTGTGGGTTTTGCTGGTTTGATCTCTTCCTTCACTATCTTCACTGGTTCTGATATTATGAGTTCTTCTTGTTTAGTCTCTTCTTTTACTATCTTCACCAATTGTGGGGGCTTGTTTTGGACAGATTGAGAACCATCAGGGTCATTAGCTAACGAAGGCACCTCACTACTAGTAATTTCTCTCTTAGTATAGGGAATCATATCTGGGGATCGCGACCACAACGAATGCGAAATGGATTGAAAGAAACCATCCTTCGAAAACCTTGATCCAACACAGACGTTTCCCATTTATTACTCTCTATTTCCTCCCCAAAGGACACAGTGCTGAAGTCTCAATATCAAAATGGGGTTTTTCTTTCAGTCATGATCAACTCAACTCCGAACAGCAGCGAAATCAATGGGTACTTTTTACAAACAATTGGGGAGCTATTTTATCCAGTAATTTTACAACTCAATCCATCAAATAACAAGATTGAACACAATAATCAGCAAAAAAAAAATTTTTAAAAAAAAATTAAAAGCTTTGAAATCCCATTGGACCAAACCTTTGAATCGATAACTAAAATGGATGAGTTGAAAAGACACAAGCTCGACCTACGAGAAAACTTGTGAACCTTTCAATTTCACAAACCTAAAGTCCTAATAAACCCAACAAAAAAAATTGATCAACCCAAGAAACCCAATTGGAAGAAAGGATTAAATTGAGAAATTCAAAATCTAATTTGATCATTCAAAGGCATAAACGTGTAAAATTCTGGAGGCAGAAGAAGAAAAGGTCAGCAGTTGTGCGCAATGAACCTTTTCTTACCAGGTTTCTCTCTCTTTCTCGCTTGAGAATGAAGTTTTGCGTGTTTGCTGGACTAGGGTTTTGATTTTCTCATTTGGGTGCGTCTTATTTCTTCGCCATCATCGAACATATATGCGAAACGCGGAGAGAAAGAGAGAGAGAGAGAGAGAGAGAGAGAAAGAGAGGGGAAAGAGAGAGGGAAGAGGAAAAGAAAAGTGACAGGTTTTTCTGTTGGAAAGTTTCAAAGCTTGATTTGTTCAAATATTAATGCCAAAAATTAATGCTTCCACTTTATTTTAAGAGTCATGTTTTAAAAATAAAATAAAATTTTGGTAAATTACAATGACCTTTCTTGAGGTTTAAAAAAAATATAATAAATCTCACAATTTTAACATAATTATATTTAATTCTATTGAAATTTTAATCCATGTAATACTCAGCTCCATTTTCATCAATAATTTATTAGTTATATGAATAAAAAAATGATAATTGTCATTTATTTTACATAAAAATATATATTTTATATTGTTTATATTTGTGTTTTCGCATCACCTGGATTTACTATATTTTTTTCTAAATATCAAATGAGGTCATTGTAATGTATCTTTTTTTTTTAAAATAAAAATAAAATTGAAACTGATGGAAAATAAAATCAGTGAGAGTTTGAAAAAATTTAAGATTTTAATTATTAATATTTATAAAATTTACCATTAATTTGTAATAAATATTTCAAATTCCCACTGATATGTATTTTTTCCATTAAAAAAGACTCAGGTGCCATTTATATATTATTATAGTGAATCCTATTGTAAATATACTAAAATTTTGAATTAGTGAAAAAATTGATTTGTCACCTATCATATTATTCTAGTGGGTCTTTTTTTTTTAAAAAAAATATTAAAATTTCATTATTAGTAGTAAAGAAAATACAAAATTTTTAAGTTTATATATCATTTTTCTTATTTTAAATTAATTTAAAACAAAAGTATTAAACATGGTATGGAAGCACGACATTAAATTTTGGGATTTATCTCTGTCAATATTAATTATGTTTGTTCTTTCTCAATGATAAAAATGAAACAGAAACATAATTATGTTTTTTTCTTTCTTACTAAGGAAAATGAAACATCAAAATAATTTTCATATACAAAGTCCATTTAAAATGATATGAAAATGTTATTTTTAAAATAAATTATGAACCTCAGCAACAATTTTAAATCATATTTATAAAAAAAAAAAGAGGACCATAAAAAAAATTGAAATTAAGTCAAAAGATTTAAAATAATCACTTTTTATATAATATATAGAAAGAATTTGTAAAGTCATATTTTGTACCAAAGTTATTCCAAACAATTTCATTAAAGTGACTTTTAGTCGTGGCAATGGAGTTATCTTTGTCATATCATTTTAATAAATTTTGCTTCAAATACAAAAATTATATTATTATATATCACATTTATGAATTTAAAAAGAAAAAATAAAAGTTTATAAAAAATCTTGGGAAAATTACTCTAGGGTCCCTCTCCCACTTTTCGTAATGGAAGAGATCCACAAAATTATTTTTTGATATTTAAGGTCCCTAAACATATATCAGGGAAATTTGACTCTTTCTCTCACCTCCTCTACTGCAGAGCAGCACTTCCTCTCTCTCTCTCTCCGAAACCCTAGAGGCTGTAGAGTTGGATAGGCTCGCCTTCAGAATCGAAAGCATATCGAAGACTCGGATTGTTCAACAACTTTGATCATCGGAGACGATGAGATGGGATCAAATGGTTTGAAGCAGCTCTGGCCAGTGGTTGCAGGGTCGACAGGAACAATTGCAGCCATAGCAGTCATATACTATCTACGTTGCGCGATGCGAAGGTGATCAGTGAACCTGAAGAGAGTTACAGGTTAGAAAAGTTTTGGTTTTCCAAGTATGGCTATGTTTACATTTTGCTAGGCTACGTTGTTAAGCCTTTAAATTGATAATTACTAAGATTTGCTAGGCTTCGTGGTTTTCCGTTGTTGGCTATTGGGCTATCTAGTAGTATTGAGGTGAACCTTTTGCTGGCAAGCTAATTGTTCTTTGATTTGGCTCACTGTTGCCTGGTAGAATATATATTTTTATGGTGCTACTACAGCTACTTATTTGATGTAGAAATAAGATGATGATGATGATGATGATGATGAAGAAGGCTATCAAAGAATTTCTATAGAGGAAGAATTTGAATTTGAACCCAGAGAAATTGGTCTAAGGTCCCTCTCATATTTTTGATAATGAAATAGATCCACAATATTTGAATTTGAATTTGAATCCAGAGAAAATTGGTCAAAATGATTTCATAAAATAATAGTGTGATTTAGAGAAAATTGGTTAAAATGAATCCAGAGAAATTTGAATTTTCTCTGGTTTATAAATGAACCCAAAGAAATTTGAATTTAAATTTGAATCAAGAGAAAATTGGTCAAAATGAACCCAGAGAAATTTGAATTTTCTTTGGGTTGAACCCAGAGAAATTCTTTGGGAAGTGCAGAATTTCTCTGGATGAAATTGCAGAATGATTTCATGATTCAATACTAAATTTATTTTATGTTTTGCAGATCAAATTGGGCTTACTCCTGAAGAAGTTATTTAAAAAATTATGGCCAATTCCGAAGTCGCCATGGCATTTCAAAATCCAAGAGTTCAAGCAGCTATCATGGATGTATGCCCATGCCCTAATTAATTGATGTACTTGCTTGATTCTAACTTTGCTCTCTCTGACACACTCATTTTTTTGCAGTGTTCGCAGAATCCTTTGAGTATTGCAAAATATCAGAATGACAAGGAGGTATGTACGCCTCAAAGTTTATATTTCATGTTTGGCCATCACCTCTGATTTTTTTTTTTCTTTTTGGCCATGCAAAATTTCTCTGGACCAATTTTCTCTGTGACGTGAATTTTCTCTGCACCAATTTTCTCTGGATCAACTTGAGCGACCTTAGACATTATGAAAATATTAGATGTCCTTTATGCTATAAAATCTTAATACGAGAGACCTTAAAAAAAAAACTTCAAAAATCTTTGCTTGAGATAATGACAAAAAATTATATTTGCTTTGAATGAGTATAGAAAAATATTTTTTTAATAGCTGGATGTCATACCTTTGCTTCTAGTATTAACTAAACTAATTACATACTTGGTTTGACCTTTGAAAGCGAGACCTTTGTTTACATTACTCTATTGTCCCTTAGGAAGGGTTGAAGATTGAAGTTGTCTTCTCCTACTTCCTAATATCATAATGTTTTTATAATAAACTTTTTAAAAAGTAGGGCACTAGAGGATGGACGGCTGTGATTTATGATTTTGACCTCTCATCAATTCTATTATATAATAATAATAATATTAGTCATTATAGCAGTATTCATTATATAAAGCATATAATTCAAAATTATTGCATGCAAATTATCATTTTAGTCAAATAAAATGAAAAAAGAAAATATAAATGGTCCTTATAGCATTACTCATTATATAAAGTATACAATTCAAAATTGTTTAAAAATTTTTTGTCACACTTTTTTTCTTCAAAAATGTCTATATTGTTAAATATTCTAATAAATAATTGTTAATAATTTATAAATTCAACTCATCTTCATAACTCGTCAAATAATTTAAATGTAAAATTATAAAGCCATCCTTAATCTATATTATCTGAAAAATCTAAAAATTCCCGATATATTAATTTGTGATTATGTTTCAATTTTTAAACAATAAATAATATTCTCAATCAAACAATTAAAGACAAATCGATACAACGATTTAACGTGAAAAAATCACAATTGGAATGTCTCCAATTGTGATAAAAAAAAATGGGTCAAGGCCACAAAACAATCCACTAAGAAAATAAAAATGAATTATACAAATATATTCTCAATTATCTAGTAAATCCGCGCTCTAATTGAACTAACCCTGATGTGCCTCTTCTAATTATCTTATCCAACGTTGAATTCACAACACTGATGTCGAATCCACGACGATGAGCCACTCCAAAATCTACCAAAACTTTTGGCTCAAGTTTATGAGAATCTACCGAAGAACAACTCTCTTCAGTTGCAAATGGCAGTTGCAAATGGCGGTTGCAAACTGTGACTGTATCAGTTAGAGGTAAAGAAACTAGGGCTTAAAAGGTTTTGGGGTAAGGAGAAGAGTGAATGATAAGGATGAATATAGTAATGGTATTACAAAAATTGTAAAAAAATAAAATAAAATTTTGTGGTGTGTAGAATTTCCCATATTTCCTTGTCATGAATTTTCTAGTTTCTAAACTACCCTCCATTTTCCTGTAATTGTGAATTCAAATATACAGCAAATGTATAGATGTGAAAAAGTCCAGGTCAGCAGCAGCAAGGCAAGGCTAGCTGGCACACGTTTTGGCTTTAGATGAGTGTTGTTTAGTGGCCGCCGGCCGCCGGCTGCCGCTTTTTCTTGTAGACTAAATTCTATTTTGTATTATTTGATCATAGTAAGCATCTTATGTTACATAGGTTTGAATTGTATTGTATTGTATTGCATTTCTATCTATGGGTCACATTAGAAACATTATCCGCTAATCAATAGTGAAAAATAAATAAATTAATAGTGAAATTTATAAAAATTAAAAAAATGTGATAAATTCATTTTTATGAATGTATATGGCATTAAATTCAGTAATTGACTATAAGGAACTCAAGCCATTAGTTTAATTTCAAAAATTTTGGGCAATAGTCTCAAAAGTTTATTTTTTTACAATTGAAAGGACAAAACAATTTGAAAAAAATTATGTTACCATTACATGTCTATCACCTATTTATGTCACGACCCAAACTCGCCCCTAAGGGTTTAGCATCGTAACCGGCTAGTAATCCATGATTACCAAATGCCTGTTTAACAGTAAAATAATAATACAATAATAGGGACCGGCGAAAGCATGTAAATAATAAAATATAATGTCCAAAGAACTATGAGAACTTAAATGAACAAACAAACTTGTATATATAGATATTCACATAAGTCCATGTCCAAGCATATATACAAACATGCTGTAACTTAGGGAATTAAATCCCAATAACAAAACGATCAAAACAAAAGTCTGAAACAAAAACTTCATTATTATGATCATAGCCACAAGTGGGCAAGGTAGAAACACCCAAAAGCCTTGACACGTGTCGGTTCGGAACCTCACAGTGAGGCACAGTAGCTGGCTAGACAAAAC